AATATGCCACTGTGAAAATGTCCAGCAACTCTGCTACTCTAGGATATATAGACATACAAGTGAAGTCTAGTATGCATGCATCACAAGCACTAATTGAAACACATATAATTTTTCCAGTTTTATCTCCATTGAATCATTCATCTCAAAAAGAATATTGGTTTTGACTCACCAAGTCTGATGATATGGAAACAGAGTACACATTCCTACAATTCTGCTTAAATTCTTTTTTCTAGTCATTCCACACTATGCAGTCTTACTACTCATCTTGACTAATCCCACTGTACACAATTAACAACTCTAATTAACTTGATACAAGTCAGTAATGAAGCAAAACATGCCTGCCTTTGAATTCCCTCCACTTTATTTAAAAAGAGGAAGTAAATGACTGAGCATGCTCAACAAATGGCTCATGGGTAATCCTAGATGTTGCCAGAAAGTTTTTTTCTGGCAGTATTGCCAGAATGTCACCAGAAGTTGTTGCAGCTAGCGGTGATATTTCATTTTTTCTGGCAGTATTGCCAGAATGGCACCAGAAGTTGTTGCAGCTAGCGGTGATATTTCCCTAACCCAAAAAGCTTGTTTCTGGTGACAAAAATGTGTTGCCGCAATGTTGCCGCAATATAGCAGCAATATTGCTGCAATAATTTTACTTTGGTAAGGGAGGTTTTGAAATCGCAATTGCATCACTTTTAAATTTTCTTTAATTTTAAGTTTAACAAATATTGTCAATATTTACTTAACCTTGTGTGTACTGTATGTTACAGATTTTCCCCTTACCCAAAACAACCCACAAGATTGGATCAACCCAATTTATGCCCTAAATATTAAATGTACATGTCGTAATTTTATTTGTAAATATCATGGGAATATCACCAATCATCGTATGTTATTAATGTAGGCTTTATAATTCATCGTATATGTTTATCAAACGAATATTGTTTGGTTGTATAGTACAAACCCGAATTTCCTCCATTGATTAATCCCATCGTTATAACAAATGGCCGTCTGGCATTGTTATTCAACTGATGTAACTCGAAATACACTTGGCATCATCTCCAAAGTAATTCCCAACCAATAATTCATCCTTTTCCAGCGTTTGTAATACTTTTTAAAGCCTTGTTTACTTGGTGCAAAGTTGTTTACAAATGTCGCGCGAATACTGGCGGTACCGCTCGTTATTCGCGCGTGAGGTAATTCGCACCTACCAACCAAAAGGTATATAATAAACGATCCGAGAGACAAACGCCAGTAGTGCTTGCGCTGCTCAACCAGGCATGGTGCCTTCAGTGCCCATCAGACTGGTACTCTACCCATAGGTACGTTTTGTACCATAAGATCGGGTAGGCTGATGCCTTTTCAAACCCACTGTTTTTGGGTCCCCATGCTTTTCCTGGGTAAACTCACCAAATTATGGGCAAAACACCCATTTTGAGAGTAAAATACCCATTTTCCCCAGTTTTTGCCACTTTTTGTTGATTTTGCCCAAATTGTAGTAAATTCCTGACATTTTAGCTGTTTTAACTGATTTTCTTGATTTTTAATAAATTTATAGAAAATTACAATCTCTTCTTATTATTGGGTAAATTTCAGAAATAAGAGACCCACGTATAATTTCTGTAACAGGGTAAACCACAGAGTGGTAAAAGAATACAAAGTATTCAAAAACCACCACTACACCCAGAAACGTTACATGTATTTTTCATATGCTGATGGTGTTCTCTTTATCGTTTCATAAAACAAAGCTTCAAACGTCCCCTCTGATTCCATTTCTATTGCTGTGTATGGAACTGCTGTGTACCGAATGTTTTTAACTATAGTACACAGGGGTGTGCAATTGAAAAAAAAAATCAAGTACTTTCCCATGGGCTAGTGGCAGATTTCAAGTTATAAGCCCTAAGTGAAAATGCACTAGCCCGAATAGAGGGGCAAAAATTAAAATAAATACTAATGTTGAGAAGAAATTAATTGCTGAAAGAGTCAGGGTACTGAGGTCATTCTTTTTAAAATTAAAGTTAAAAGTTCTCACTATCAATATTAATCGTGCATAAATTATAATGAAAGAAAATTAAAATTAATTTAAATAAATTATCTTCCTTTTTCTGATCATTTCACCAGCTCATTCAGAATGAAATCAAATTCATTTTGTTTTCATCTTAAATCAATAAATACATTCAATGTGATTCTTAAAACACTTATCTTTTAGTTGATTGTGTGATCGTAAATAATTTAATGAGATATCTGCATGTATTTACCATAAATGGAGGAATAGAGGAAATTCGGATTAGGAAAAACGATCGTTTTTGGAAGTAAATAAGTCAGATAGAACTGCAAAACAGATAAGATTATGGAGATTTATTGACAGTAGGAGCATGTTGTCTGCAAAATTTTAACTGGTTAGGAATTTTATAGCAAAAAAACGAGTGAAAATACCGATTGTGCTTGTCATGTATTGTGTGTTGTTATATTTTTTACTAGCCCGATGGGCTATCTCCTTGCAGAAAACAACTGGCCCGACCCCCTCCCCAAAATGGTAGCCCCGATGCTAATTGCTCACCCCTGGTACATACGAACAGTTACACAGATATCTTGCAAAACTTCACAGACTGTTACAAACAAACTAACGAAATCCCGCGCTTCTGTCAGTCTTTTATGTGTAAAAAGTCGAGAGAAAAAATTGTATTCGGATATTTTTGGACGCGCGCGCAGATTTTATTTTTATAATATTATAATTTGGATTTGTTGAAAATAGAAGCGGCGAATCCAACGAACTATATTAGAAATTGGTATGGCCTAACAATTACAATAAACGTTTTCAAATCACAACTTAAAAATGTAATCCTTAATTTTATCCACCCACCTCAACACATATACAAAAGTTGTAAAGGGGATTTAAGTGGAATCACTATGTGTGTCTGCCCTAATTCAGCATATCTCAAAGGGTATCTGCAACAAATTTGCTCATAGATGCCAACTGGAGGAAGTCCAAAGAAATATGTACTACCACTACAAATGTCCATCAGACAAATACGCTTCTGTGCTTAAATTGAAAATATGAGGGAAAAAAAATGAGTCTCTTTAGATCTTCAAAAAATTCCCACATAAACTCCTATAGAAACTGATTAGTGGTAATAGTTGTCTTTTCTAATAAGTTGGCAATCATTATCAAGTGCTAGCTATGTTATCCTTAGAAGTTAACCTTACAATTAACCTAATTAAGATAAAATTCAGATCCGCTTGCATACTCGCTACACTAACATCTAACAACATCCAAGAGAGGATCATGTCAGAGGTCAAATTCGGAACAACTCTAGACTTATTCGCTGATAATATGTACTGAACTGCAAAAGAAACGTTGCATTAGATTTTGAAAAAGTAATGCACTTATTTTGAAATAAAAAATAACGAATATGTAATTGATGTAATGTGTTTTTAATTATCTAACATTTGTTTTAGAGTTATACACATTCAATTTAATGTCAAATAATGTCAATATCACAGATTCCTATTGTCCTGAGTGCACTTCCGTTAGAAACGTGTATGGCCACCATTGGCATTAATTACAGCCATGCATCTTCGATACATAGAGTTGATGAGTCGATTGATGAAGGCCATAGGAATAGTCGCCCACACACGCTCATACGCCATAGAAAGTTAAGCAGCAGTTGTCGGTCTTGGTTGTTGTTGGTTTAGCTTTAACTGGATGTGATCCCATAAATGTTCAATGGGGTTTAGATCGGGACTAAGAGCCGGCCAGTCAATAACTGCGATGTTGTTCTGCTGCAGGTAGTCCCTAGTTATTCTGGCTGTATGCGCACGCGCGTTATCTTGCTGGAATGTCTTGTGTGGATGTTGGTTGAAATGCTGTACAACATGAGGCCTCAGGACTTGATCAATGTAGCGGGCAGCTGTTACACCATTTCCTCTGCCTGGACCAAGATTCTGGAAAACAACGGGGCCAAGTTTCGAATACAGGCCAATGCCACCCCACACCATGATGCTCGGCCCGCCCCATGGATCAGTTTCCATAACACAGTTGTCATTGTAACGCTCACCCTTCCTTCGCCAAACTCTTGCTCGACCATCGTGTGTGGAAATGCAATATCGACTTTCATCGGAGAAGATGACATTCCTCCATCGTCAATTACGCCAGTTTTGCCTTTGTGTAAGGACAGGACCTCTGTATGGACGGCGACATCTGAGGTTATTTGCTGCTAACCGACGACGTACTGTGTCGTCACTTATGGGTGGCTGATGTGTTCCAATGGTATTGCGTGCTGTTTCTGATGCCCTTGTGAATCGGTCATTCAAATGCTGGCGCACTATGAACCTGTTCTGTCTTTGCGTTGTAACTTGTGGTCTACCACTACGTGGGCGATCGTCTGTGCTGTTAGTTGCATTGAAACGTTGGCGTAAACGTTCAATTGTGCGTATACTGCAGTTGAAGTCGTTTGCTATCACCCTGGCAGCTTGCCCAGCATGCAATCTTCCTATGACTTGGTCCCTTTGTTGTCGATTCAAACGTGGCATAGCTCTGCTTTCAAAACTTATCCTGATAATCATTTAAATGTTCGCGGTGTATAAACCCATAATGAAGCGTGAAAAGCATGAGCATTAACATTTTTCAATTTAATGCTGGAAAGTGTGTACCACGGGAGGCTAGAGATTCAATGACAATTGAACGTGTTTCTAAAATCAGTGAAGCGTAACTTACCTTTAAATGATTGTAGAGTTCACATTTCGTGTTCATGCATATTTAGCACAGATTATAATATTTACAAACAATATTTCATATTATCAAATATTTCTTTTAAAAATGCGACGTTTCTTTTGCGGTTCAGTATACAATATACAATGATTTTGCAGGCGACGATTTGATCGGTTGATAGAATTTGGCCTCTGACATGACCCTCAATGAGATGTTGTTAGATGTTGTGTAGTGAGTATGCGAGCAGATCTAATATTTAATTTTAATTGGATTGATCTTACAATGTATTTTACAGATCAGACAAGAGTCCAGTAACAGCAAAAAGAATTGGAAACATCATAGAGTATCTAACATTTGAGGTTTTTAGATACACATGTAGAGGTCTTTATGAATCACACAAATTTTTGTTCACCTTGCTTATGACTCTGAAGATCGACATGCAAACAGGAAAGGTGAAACCAGAAGAATTCCAAACATTTATCAAAGGTAATATATAATATCTAACAAGCATTCTAGTCAGTAGTTCACCTGTGTTAAATTTTAAAATTAATTCCAAGTTTATTCTGCTATCTTTTGTCCATCCATCTATTTGCAAACTTTGCAATAAGTCAAAGAGATATGGAATTATCCTTAATTAGTGCCGTTTAGTGGTGGAGGAAGGTTAGGATTATATATAGCATTTATAAATTTAAACTTTTCTGAATTGAATTATGTTCCCCAAACGAAGTTGGGGAACATATTGTTTTTACTCTGTTTCTTATTATTATTATTATTATTATTATTCCTGGGAAAATTTTGTCTTTGAGTGATCTTGTAAACTACACATCCGACTAAGGTAAAACCTTTTTAGGGTCACTAGGGATGTTATGTAGATTTGCCGAACGAAGGTCATTTTGCGCGCACGTGCTTGCAAGAGCGAGCACGTGCAACACGTTAAATGGCCAATATAAGGTATATTGACTTAACTTTTCTATTTTTTGATGAAATGCTTTGAAACTCATAATGTAAGGATATATTAGTAGTATAGACAAGATGACATGGTCTAAATAGCAAGATCTCACGCGCATGCACGTGCGCTTTGCTCTGATTGGCTGAAACTAAAGTCTCAATATCTTTCTTGTTTTTTGACGAAATCCTTTGAAATTTTCAACAAAGCCATGCATTACGATATCCTACAACATGATATATAGCAATTATCATGAAAACACGTGTATGCACGTGCGCTGCAATCTGATTGGCTGAAACTTCAAATAGCTATAACTCCCTTGGTTTTCAACAAAACAGGATGGGTTTTGGAACATAGATACATATAATGGACTTCTACAAGAGGGTATGGTCACCATGCACATGCATACACGTGCGTGTACTTGCGCTGCAATCTGATTGGCTGAAACTTAAAACAGCTATAACTCCCTAGATTTTCAACCAAACAAGATTGGATTTGGAGCATAGATATATATAATGGACGTCTACAAGAAGGTATGGTTACCATGCACATGCATACATGTGCGTGTACGTGCGCTGCAATCTGATTGGCTGAAACTTTACATAGCTATAACTCCCTTGGTTTTCAACCAAATGGGGTGAGATTTAGAACATAGATAGATGTAATGGACTTCTACAAGAAGGTATGGTCACCATACTCATGTATGCACGTGCGTGCACGTGAAATGGGTAAAATAAAAAATACACTTGAATGAGCGTTTTTTTTTTTATACTTTTGGATTAAATACTTTGATATTTAGCATATTAAAATATATAGATCGTGTAGACAATATGATATGGTCATTACGCACATGCATTAACATGTGTAAGTGTGCAATGATAAAATTTGAATGAACATAGTGCACTTTTTGGTAAACGTTGTTAAAGTCTCAAATGCATAGAGTTTGTCTTATTTAATTACGCTTACAGGGAATATGACTAGAAAAGGGAGTTGGGGAGCGTTTGGGGAACATCTGTAACGGTCCCCGTTACAATTAGCACTAGTTGGTTTCTGCTTTTCTCTAGCCAAAGTGCTCAGGTAATTAATGTGGCCTATGGCCATTCATGGTAGTCTATAGGTATTTTCCTCTACAGAGAATAGTGCAAAGCATTTGTAATGTCCTATACAGGTGGTGCTGCACTTGACTTGAATGCTGTTATGCCAAAACCTTCAAAGTGGATTTCTGATATGACCTGGTTAAACTTGGTGCAACTTAGTGGACTACCACAGTTTTCTGAAATTCTCAATCAGGTATCTTTACATTCTTCCAAATCTATTATTATAAAAGCAGTTTCTTTTTTCATATAAATTGATAAATGCATCATGTCCAAGACCTTGAAATTTGATCTATTTTTCAAATAATTAAAGTATGGGTATAAGTTTTGAATAAAAAAATAAGGATTTAATTTTTCACATGCATGTGCATTAATTTTGTCAAAGCTTATCTGGGTGTATTCTGTTTTTTGGACCTCATAAACTTTATTTCCAGGTATAATACACCTTAAAAAAAAAAAAACTCAATTTGTACTATGGTAAACCTTTACATAAAATTGCATTCAAAGGTGTCCAGAAATGAGAAGGCCTGGAAGAGTTGGTTTGATACTGATGCCCCGGAGGAGGAGCACATTCCTGATGGTTATCATACATCATTAGATGCATATAGGAGACTTCTGTTAATCAGGTATTATTTATCTCTAATAATAAGCTGCGGGCTCAATTATGTTTTTCTATAGCTCAAATGATCTCTTTCTTTTCTTATTTGTCTTTTTTTTTTTTTTTTTTGTTATCAAATGTTGCCATTCTTTTTATAAAATTTGTGTCTTCAGAAAGCAAAATTTTCTGTAAGCTGAAGTTTTGGATAATTCATCGCTTATATTAATCATGTGAAAGATGTTTTTATTTGTACTTTGCATCTGCATTTGTCCAGTGCACATACAAGTCTAATTGTAATGCTTTAAAAGAAAAAAATCCTTTTTATTTTGATTTCTTCTTTCAAGATCTTGGTGTCCAGACCGAGCTATTCCACAGGCCAGGAAGTACATAGCAGACTCCATGGGTCCAAGATATGCGGAATCAGTCATCCTTAACTTGACACAGACCTGGGAGGAGAGTGACATCAGAACACCCCTTATATGTCTTCTGTCAATGGGATCTGACCCCACCAATCAAATCGAGTCACTGTCAAAGAAAGTTCATCTAGGTAATGCATTTGAAACTTGAACTTATCTGTCAGAGAGTTTTAAGCTTCTCTGATCAAAATTTATCTGTTGTCTGTCATTGTTGACATTTGTAAGCTTTTAATAATTTCATATTCTTCTCCAGAAGGTTTTGGCCAATTTCAAAGATTCCACAATGCATCCTTGGGTAAAGGGGATTCAAATTTGTTCACATAAAGTGCCAAGCTCTCTTTCAAGGGGAAAAAATAAAGAATTTGTGAAAATTTGATGGAAACTTTTAAAAAATCTTTTTCAGACACACTGGGCCAGAAAAACTGAAACTTAACTCTTTTCCCCTTAGACCTTTCCCTCCTTTACCCCTTAATGACGACTTTTGACGCCTAGCCCCCAACCCTTAATGACGACTTTTGACGCATGTGTATTTCATTGTTGATTTGACTTGAAATTAACGCTTGTATACTAATTATTTGAGCACAGGTGGCCACCTGCAGGTTAACAATAGATGATTGCATCATACTACAGTTAGAAATCACGTGATTTACCTGTGTAAACAAACAAAGGAATCTTGGAAAGTCCCACCAAAATTCAAAGTGGCGGACTGTTACATACGATGTTTTTTGAGCATATAACTCAGTTAATAGGCAATATTTTCTCATCCAGTAAAGCATTACATGAAATTCAAGCTATAAGCTACCTATTTCTTGAAAGGTTTGAAAATTATAATGATTTATATGTTTTTTATACTCCAACATAACTTACGAAATTTTTGTGAAGTTCGGGACCGCGGAGTGCCGATTTTGTTACCCGTTTCTCACAAATTCAGAACATACCTTCCATTTTACACATATTTATAAATGTAAAGGTGTAGAAAATAATTATTTTAATAGAATTGTGTCATTAAAGTGTCCAAAAACGTTCAGAAGTCGAATTTTAGGACGTAAGTCTGAAAATTTGTCGGCGAGATTGACATTGAAGAAGCACTACAATTTATCGATTTCTGAGGAATTAAACTTATAATAATGATAAGAAATAATAATTTAACCATCAATTATATCATCACACATATTTTTAAATTATTTATACAGACAATTTTGGCTTATTAAAGCCGTTTTACATGTTGAAAATATCCATTTTTATATTTTCACCTGCTTCATACATGTTAACCTATTGTGATGAAAAATAGGGAGATTCAGACTTCAAAAGCGGTAACATTGCGCGTGCGTTGTTTTACGCTTGGATTACCGACATACTTCATGTAATATATACATGTATGTAGCCTTAAGGATGACGTTTACTCACGTTTCAGAAAACAGAAAGGAAAAATTGTAAAGTATAATATGTTAAATCAAAAATTGCTCTAAAAGGATAAAATTACTTAGTTTTGACCAAATATCAATTGAAAAATTAAATATATTATTATTTGAAGAAAATATACGGGAACAAAAATCAATGTATGGCAATGCAGAGGAAATTCGGACTAAATTTTTAATTTTTAGCTCACCTGAGCCGAAGGCTCAAGTGAGCTTTTCTGATCAAAATTTGTCCGTCGTGTGTCGTTGTCGTCGTCGTTGTCGTTGTAAACTTTTCACATTTTCATCTTCTTCTCAAGAACCACTGGGCCAATTTCAACCAAACTTGGCACAAAGTATCCTTGGGTGAAGGGGATTCAAGTTTGTTCAAATGAAGGGCCACGCCCTTTTCCAAGGGGAGATAATCATGAATTTGTTAAAAATTTATGGCATTTTTAAAAAAATCTTCTTCTCCAGAACCGCTGGGCCAGGAAAGATGAAACTCATGTGGAATCATCCTCAGGTAGTGTAGATTCAAGTTTGTTCAAATCATGACCCCCAGGGCAAGGGTGGGGCCAAAATGGCCGACCCAAGTTTTACATAGGAATATATAGGAAAAATCTTTAAAAATCTTCTTCTCCAGAACCACTGGGCCAGGAAAGATGAAATTCATGTGGAATCATCCTCATGTAGTGTAGATTCAAGTTTGTTCACATCATGACCCCCGGGGCAAGGGTGGGGCCAAAATGGCCGACCCAAGTTTTACATAGGAATATATAGGAAAAATCTTTAAAAATCTTCTTCTCCAGAACCACTGGGCCAGGAAAGATGAAATTCTTGTGGAATCATCCTCAGGTAGTTTAGATTCAAGTTTGTTCAAATCATGACCCCCGGGGCAAGGGTGGGGCCAAAATGGCCGACCCAAGTTTTACATAGGAATATATAGGAAAAATCTTTAAAAATCTTCTTCTCAAGAACCACTAGGACAGAAAAGATGAAACTCATGTGGAATCATCCTCAGGTAGTGTAGATTCAAGTTTGTTCAAATCATGACCCCCGGGCAAGGTTGGGGCCAAAATGGCCGACCCAATTTTTTCATAGGAATATATAGGATAAATCTTTAAAAATCATCTTCTCCAGAACCACTGAGCCAGGAAAGATGAAACTCATGTGGATTCATCCTCAGGTAGTGTAGATTGAAGTTTGTTCAAATCATGACCCCTAGGGCAAGGATGAGGCCAAAATGGCCGATCCAAGTTTTACATAGGAATATATAGGAAAAATCTTTAAAAATCTTCTTCTCCAGAACCACTGGGCCAGGAAAGATGAAATTCATGTGGAATCATCCTCATGTAGTGTAGATTCAAGTTTGTTCACATCATGACCCCCGGGGCAAGGATGGGGTCAAAATGGCCGACCCAAGTTTTACATAGGAATATATAGGAAAAATCTTTAAAAATCTTCTTCTCCAGAACCACTGGGCCAGGAAAGATGAAACTCATGTGGAATCATCCTCAGGTATTGTAGATTCAAGTTTTTCAAATCATGACCCCCGGCCCTGGGGATAGGGTGGGGCCAAAATGGCCGACCCAAGTTTTACATAGGGATATATAGGGAAACCTTTTAAAATCTTCTTTTCAAGTACTTCAAAGCTATGATTAGTGATACCCGGGGTATTTATATGGAATCATCCTCAGGTAGTGTAGATTCTAGTTAGTTCAAATGATGAACGCCTGGAAGGGGGGAGTAAATTCAAGCCCGATGTGCTCAGGTGAGCGCTGTGGCCCCTGGGCCTCTTGTTCATTTTTGTCAGAATTATTTATTTTTTGCAATATTAATCACAATGTAAAGGTTACATGTTTTTTTGAACATCATTTTACAAATATTATATGCGTTAAAGCTAATAAATTATTGCAAATAAATGAATGCTATGAAATAAAGAAATTCAAAAATATGAACAAAAACCATTCCAGACAACATATCTCAATTATTTGATCATTGACCCCATATAATGTTAATACCATGAGAATAAGGGCAACAAAATTAACCTGTTGCTATAAATAATTTAGAGTTCTTATCAGTCAGATTTTTTTAATATTCGATAATAACTGGGGAAAAATATCAATATGACAGAGGAAATTCGGACTGTAATAATTATCAAATTTATGGCCAAAACTCTAATCTTTCTGTTTATGAAGCAGTGCTGTTCAATTGCTTTTATATTTCGTTATCTAAAAAGCTTTGTTACTTGTAATATTTTGTGAGTGAAGAAAATATTGGTCATAGTGTGAAAAATTGAGGTATTTCCCGTGAAATACTCAGGGGCCACTAGCATGAAAAGTAGGTCATTGACCTAGTTATTTGAAATTAAAATTTAACACCAGAATTATAGGTGTACAGTGTGCAATAGGTGGTTTTTAGTTCTTATCAGTGGAATGTTTAGTCCGCTGAGTAAAGGTATACCTTAAATCAATAAATGAAACCTACAATAATACATCTTAAATATCGACTGCAAAGAAGAAGACAGAAACACCTTAAGTTTGACATAAATTGTACAAATTCAAATATTTTTCATGCTCATCATTTTGCTTGGATTGGCTGTTTAACTTAGCCTTTTGAAGAGAGATCTTAGCCTAGAAGCAATAATTCTGAATGTTCATTCAGTTGTTAAACAAAACAAATGATGACATGGTTTAAACTATACCTAAAACAAGTTCCTATCTTTCGTTATATAAGTCAGATTTCCCGCGATGATCGAAAACGAAAGTAGAGATGTGCCACATGGCTTGGTCAATTGAGTGATTTCTATTGACTTTATTGATAAAATTGTCAGCTCCTGTGCTTTTATAGACGATGCCAAACGTTTTCATCTAATTATTAAAAGCTGTATCTCCTTTTTCTTGGCAGTGATGTTGACTAAATTTATCGTAACCAATGTAATTAGTGGTTATCTTTGCTGTTGTCATTGTCAAATTCGTGCTTGAAATCTATGTACACATCGTTAAAAAAAAAAAGCGTTTGTATGCTTCTGAGTCAAATCACGCGATATCTTACGAGATTTTATGAGAGTGGCTTCAAAAATGGATACCCAAGCGAACCAAAAATACTTAGGCGCAACTTTTGTAGAAAAGCGGTAGATTTCTGAATTAAATCGGTAGGCGAGAGATGGAGTGAAAAAGCGGTAGACTCCCGCCTAAATGGTAGAGTTAACATGTATGCCTGCTTTCACCTGAATTTTTTTTAACAGAAAACTACGATCGAAATTATGTAAACAGATTTGAAAAATTTAATTTATTACGAACCCAATGATATATAATACATAGTATAAATGAAATATTTTGACCCTTCTTTGTTTAATTTTAAAATGCACTCCAATTCATCTAAACCGCTCTAAGGGGCAGCCAGGCAAACACTCTAGGGATATGGCCAGTGCGTCAAATCGTGGCATTAAGGGGTAAAGAGTTAAAGAAAGTATACTGTATACTGTAAATTCAGTTTTATTCAAATTATGATCCCCATGGGTTGGGCAGGTCCACAGCATGTGATCAAAGTTTTACATAGAATTATGTAGGAATATTTAGTAAAATATCTTCTCCTCAAGAACAGCAAAGCCAATTTTAGTCATATTAACAAAACAAAAGCACTCTTTGGTACCTAGTTAAGAAGTCAAATCCTGACCAACAGGATAGGGCAAGGCCATAACCGGAAATCAAAACTATGCATAGGAATGTGGGGGTGATATGGTCCATAGGCCTTTTGTTTGTTTATGACTTATGGTCATATCAAGGGTCCAGAAAAGTAAAATTCTTGCTTGTGCTATTACTTTGAAAAAAATTTGAAACTGTGAAAGATAGCATATGGCAAAATGATCACTTGTAATCACAATAAGTAGTAGCTTATTTTGGAAGTCCAGGAGTAGAGATCGACATTAATGGTTGTATGATTGCCCAGGACAAGTAAATTCTCAATTCGGGCAAGTTAAACTATTGATGTACTTGTCCGATCGGGCAAGTGGATATTTCTGATAGAAACCTTTTTAGCTCACCTGAGCCAAAGGCTCAAGTGAGCTTTTCTGATCAAAATTTGTCCGTTGTCTGTCGTCGTCGTCGTTGTTGTCGTTAACTTTTCACATTTTCATCTTCTCAAGAACCACTGGGCCAATTTCAACCAAACTTGCCACAAAGTATCCTTGGGTAAAGGGGATTCAAGTTCGTTCAAATGAAGGGCCACGCCCTTTTCCAAGGGGAGATAATTATGAATTAGAGAAAAAATAATGGCATTGTTAAAAAATCTTCTTCTCAAGAACCACTGGGCCTGGAAAGATGAAACTCATGTGGAATCATCCTCAGGTAGTGTACATTCAAATTTGTACAAATTATGACCCCCAGGGCAAGGGTGGGGCCAAAATGGCCGACCAAAGTTTTACATAGGAAAAATCTTTAAAAATCTTCTTCTCAAGAACCACTGGGCCAGGAAAGATGAAAGTCATGTGGAATCATCCTCAGGTAGTGTAGATTCAAGTTTGTTCAAATCATGACCCCCTGGGCTAGGGTTGGGCCAAAATGGCCGACCAAAGTTTTACATAGGAAAAATCTTTAAAAATCTTCTTCTCAAGAACCACTGGGCCAGGAAAGATGAAACTCATGTGGAATCATCCTCAGGTAGTGTAGATTCAAGTTTGTTCAAATCATGACCCCCGGGGCTAGGGTTGGGCCAAAATGGCCGACCAAATTTGAACATAGGAATATATAGGAAAAATCTTTAAAAATCTTCTTCTCAAGAACCACTGGGTCAGGAAAGATGAAACTCATGTGGAATCATCCTCAGGTAGTGTAGATTCAAATTTGTTCAAATCATGACCCCCGGGGCTAGGATGGGGCCAAAATGGCCGACCAAAGTTGAACATAGGAATATATAGGAAAAATCTTTAAAAATCTTCTTCTCAAGAACCACTGGGCCAGGAAAGATGAAACTCATGTGAAATCATCCTCAGATAGTGTAAATTCAAGTTTGTTCAAATCATCACCCCCCAGGGCTAGGGTGGGGCTAAAATGGCCGACCAAAGTTTTACATAGGGATATATAGGGAAACCTTTTAAAATCTTCTTTTTTAAGTACTTCAAAACCATGATTAGTGATATTTATATGGAATCATCCTTAGGTAGTGTAGATTCTAGTTTGTTCAAATCATGACCCCCTGGGGGTTATAATTTTAAGCCCTCCCCCCCCCCCCTCAGTAAACTCATTTCTGATCTGATTTGTGCTTTTTCCTAGCTGATGTGCTCAGGTGAGTGCTGTGGCCCCTGGGCCTCTTGTTTAAGCTTACATTAGTTCATAAACATCACATTAAACACTTGATTTCTGCAAAAAAAAATGGGACATTGTTTTTGCATTCGGAATCCCTCAGTAGCTACCTTTATTAAGAAATTGGGTTCGTTATTCTGTTTTCTTATGTAGTTTTCAAAAATATCATCTCCGTCTGACAACTAAGTACATTATTATAATGAAATAGATATTATAGTTTCTTTATTCATTCACAGAATATAGAGAACACTAGATATTATAGTTTCTTTATTCATTCACAGAATATAGAGAACACTACTTATTCTTGGTGCATGATGTATCTTGATTCAACACATGGCAACTGTCTTCTTTTAGCATGACCTCAATTTTTTAGGAAAAAAATAAAATATTGAGATAAAAATTGTAAGGAAATAATAAGTTGCACAGCTGTGTGTTTTTTAGAATAGTAAATAACAGGAAATTAACAAATGCAGCATCACCGTCACATCAACATTTTTTCCGGCAGGTAACTTCAAAATAGAAATCAATTTGTCACACTTTAATATTTACAAACAATAAATTAAGATACAGTAACCGCATGGATTTTCTTTTTTAAAAAATTTTGGGAAACCAAGTTTTGCATTTAAGCAAGTCAAAATTATAGTACACTTGCCCAAAGGGCAAGTGATTGTAAAAGTTCATGTCTATCCATGAGGAGGTCTTATTGAACACAGAGATTGGCCAAGACCAAGAAGTCTATAGTGATTCTAAGCATAGCCATGAACACAAAGATTGGTGAAGACCAAGACGTCTGCAGTGATTCTAAGCATAGCCATGAAAACAAAAATTGGTCAGGACCAAGAGGTCTGCAGTGATTCTAAGAATAGCCATGACCACAAAGATTTGTCAGGACCAAGAGGTCTGTAGTGATTCTAAGCATAGCCATGAACAATAAGATTGGTCAAGAGGTCTGAAGTGATTCTAAGCATTAGTCATGAACACAAAGATTGGCTAAGAGGTGTGTAGTGATTCTAAGCACAGCCATGAACACACAGATTGGTCAAGAGGTCTGTAGTGATTCTAAGCATAGCCATGAACAATAAGATTGACCAAGAGGTCTGAAGTGATTCTAAGCATTGCCATGAACACGAAGATTGGCCAAGAGGTCTGCAGTGATTCTTAGCATAGCCATGAACACAAAGATTGGCCAAGAGGTATGTAGTGATTCTAAGCATAGCCATGAACACAAAGAGTGGCTAAGAGTTCTGTAGTGATTCTAAGCATAGCCATGAACGCAAAGATTGACCAAGAGGTCTGTAGTGAATCTAAGTATTAACCATAAACACAAAGATTGGCTAAGAGGTCTGTAGCAATTATAAGCATTGCCATGAACACAAAGATTGGCCAAGAGTTCTGTAGTGATTCTAAGCATAGCCATGAACACAAAGATTGGCCAAGAGGTCTGTAGTGATTCTAAGCATAGCCATGAACACAAAGATTGGTCAGGACCAAGAGGTCTGTAGTGATTCTAAGCAAAGCCATGAACACGAAGATTGGCCAAGAGTTCTGTAGCGATTCTAAGCATAGCCATGAACACAAAGATTGGCCAAGAGGTCTGTAGTGATTCTAAGCATAGCCATAAACACACAGATTGGTCAGGACCAAAAGGTCTGCAGTGATTCTAAGCATAGCCATGAACACAAAGATTGGTCAGGACCAAGAGGTCTGCAGTGATTTTAAGCATAGCCATGAACACAAAGATTAGCTAAGAGGTATGTAGTGATTCTAAGCATAGCCATGAACACACAGATTGGTCAAGAGATCAGTAGTGATTCTAAGCATAGCCATGAACACAAAGATTTGTCAGGACCAAGAGGTCTGTAGTGATTCTAAGCATAGCCATGACGACAAAAGAGGTCTGTAGTGAATCTAAGTATTGCCAAAGTCTAACTCACATGCTGCAGCTAGAAGTTAGAATCTTGGTTTGGGCAGTTAGAATCTTGCCCAAAATTTAATCATGAAAAGAAATGTGACTTGAGTTAATGCTATTATCAACACGTAGGCCTCTTTTTATGTACCATTAAGCTATTACTTGTGTTCTATATGTCCTTTTCACAAATATTTGAATGGTAGAAATGTTAAGATTGCTCTGTTTACTACGTACTCTTACATTATTAGGTATGTATTCTTATAAGATGTTATTTTTTCACAAAGATTTTAGGGCTATTTCTATGGGTCAGGGTCAGGAGGTTCATGCTAGAAAATTAATTGCTCAGTTCATGCATACCGTAAGCTTGTTAACAATTTTGTGTTAATTGCATTTTTGTTCATTTTATTTTTAATTATTATGTTTAATTTTCCTTTTGCCCTGTTGGATACGCAAGGGATTTTTTTATACTGTAAATGTATTATATTTGGCGTGTACGATATTTGCCGGAAATTGATTTTTGAACAGGTTGGCGTAGATTTGATTTAGCGCATTTCTTCATGTTCTTATTTATGAGTATATGTGCAAGACATTTAGCGCTGTACTTGAGTTAGCAGACGTTTCTTTGCGCCAAAGGCGCTAAAAAGAATACACAGCCAAATGTAATAAGTTCACAGTATGTTGTAATTACCTATAGATGGTCTGATTTCAATTGAACTTGGTTCACAAGTATGTAAAATAATTTCAATTAAAATTTTATCTAGGAGACATTTGTACATATAATATGATTTCTAAGACTGCATATTGATAACTAAAAAGGAAAATTTTGTAAAATTCCTTTAGAATTTATCCCTTCTACATAGTTTTGTCTGCTTTTAGTAAAACTTGGTATATCAAATAACTTAACAAAGCTATATAATTCAGTAGATACAATTTTGATTTTTAAAAGAAACTACTCTGCGATGGATACTAAAATAAATAAGACCATTTCCTGTTTTTATGTGACCTTCAAGTAAAAGATCATACTTTTAACATTAATGTATGTTTTTCAGGGTGGATGGGCATTATTACAGAACTGTCATTTAGGTCTGGATTACATGAATGAACTGTTAGATACAGTAACCGATACACCACAAGTCAATGATGCGTTCCGGGTGTGGATAACAACTGAAGAACATGCTGGATTTCCAATCAGTCTTCTACAGGTTTATACCCATGACTCAACCACAATAATATATTTTTATCATGAAAACTATTTTCAATCACACAAGATTATTATTATAAGATTATTCATCAATAGCCAATGAAACTTTTGTGTCTCTTTTAAATTTGATAATATTTCTGAAAAACAAGGTTTCATGAAAATGTGTTGATCTACAGTACTTGACTGGCTAAGAACCAACAACAAAAACATGAATGAAGATGACATTTTTGATGACATCTTTATTTATATTTTTTTTTGGTCAACTTCAGACATCCATTAAATTCACAAATGAACCACCCCAAGGAATCAAGGCAGGATTGAAGAGAACTTATGCTGGAATTACTCAAGACTTTCTTGATGTTAGCAACATGGTTCAGTGGAGACCTATGCTCTTTGCAGTGTCCTTTCTCCACACAGTCGTTCAGGTTTGTTTTGAAATGAAAATAAATATTTCAGTGAGATGTAGATATTTTAGAATTTAAGAAATAGTGAGTATCAACTGTAACATTTTTTTTAGGAAAGAAGAAAGTTTGGCCCTCTAGGTTGGAATATTCCGTATGAGTTTAACTCTTCAGACTGGACAGCCAGTGTACAGTTTGTACAGAATCATCTGGATGATCTGGATGTCAAAAGGGTAAGGTTCTATTTCACATCCAATGTCAGCAAATTATAGAACTGATTTCTCCAAGTTCCAATTTTACAAGCATTTGTTATGTCTTTCCTCCAAAGGGGAGACATTGTTTTTGTCTTTTTTTTTGTATTTATTTTTGTTTGTTTGTTTTTTTTTGAATTTAGGGAATATCTTGGACAACAGTTCGCTACATGCTTGGTGAAGTGCAGTATGGAGGGAGAGTTACAGATGATTATGACAAGAGACTTCTTAATACATTCGCAAGAGTAAGATACCTAATATCTAGATAATTATTACTTTTGAAACACACTATGTATGTGTTTGTGTTTACATGTACTTTTATATCTGATTCTATATGCTAAAGGTATTTACACTAGATATTAATTGATTTTAAATATGGTATTGGAGGGACTTTGAAAAATATAAACAAGCACACTAATTTTAAGGATGGAAACTTCTCTTAGTTATGGAGGCCTTTCAACATTTTAGTCAAATAATTTTATACTTATCTTATATTTCCAATTATTTCCTTATTATTAATTTTGTGATTGGTATGAGTAATTATGGGAATAAAATCCAGAGACTTTGAATAAAGGGGGGGGGGGATATACTGACCTACACTTGTAGCTAACAATCTTTATTTCTAAGACCTTGAAAAATAGCTAATACCATAGGCTCTTTTGATTTTCTTTTTAGCTCTTCTGAGCCAAAGGCTCAAAGAGCTAATGCTATGGCCATTTGTGCGGTGTGCGTCGTGCGGTGTGCGTTAACTTTTCAGAATATGGGCCATAACTCAAGAACCCCTTGGCCAATCATTGTCAAATTTGTTACAGGGTATCCATGGCCCAAGGGCTACCATTTATACTAAAACTAGGGTTGGGACCCTAAAACAAGGGGAGATAATCAGGAAAATAGAACCAAAAGTACTGGTTGCTAAAAAATCTTCTCCAGAACCACCAGGCAGATTTTCACCAAACTTACATACAAGGTTCAGGATATGTTGAAGATTAAAAATTGTTCAAGGCATGACCCTGGGGCAAAGGGCGTGGTCTCAAGGTCACTTCAAAGTTAACCAAAATTTACACATAATAAAAACGTTGATATTTTGCTTACTATAAAGACTAGGATCATAAAATCTTGTAAGTTGATGCATCTAAGGACTTCACATCATGTTAACACAAAAGTAGGTCATGGTGACCTATTTTTTAAATTTTACGGGCTTTTGTTTTCAAATTGATTTGGATGCATATTTTGGACACTTTAAGGCCTATGATCATCAAACTTTGTCAGTTGATGCATCTTGGATCCTTAAACAAGGTCAACTTAAAAGTAGGTCACTGTAACCTACTTTTTGAATTTTATGGCTCATCTTTTCTAAAACATTTCATCCCATTATTTCAGATACTGAGAGGTTTAGATTCATCAAACCTTGTAAGTTGATGCATCTTGGGGCCTTAAAACATATTTATAAAAAAGTAGGTCACTGTGACCTACTTTTTGAATTTTGCAGGCATTTGTTCTCAAATTGTTTAAAAGGCATATTTTGAATACTTTCAGACCTATGATCATCAAACTTTGTCAGTTGATGCATCTTGGGTCTTCGGAAAATGTCAACTAAAAAGTAGGTCACGGTGACCTACTTTTGACATTTTATGCCTATATTTCAGTATCTTAGTACTTTTTGGCTTATAATCATCAAACTTTGTCAGTTGATGCAACTTAGGTTTTCGGAGAATGTCGACCAAAAAGTAAGTCACTGTGACCTACTTTTGACATTTTATGGCTGTATTTCAGTATCTTAGGTACTTTTTGGCTTAGAATCAGCTAACTTTGTCAGTTGATACAACTTGGGTTTTCGAAACCTGTCGACCAAAAAATAGGTCACTGTGACCTAGTTTTGAATTTTTATGGCTATATTTAAGTATCCCGGGTACTTATTGGCCTAGAATTGTCAAACGTTGTCAGTTTAGGCATCTTGGGTTTTCGGAGAAGGTCGACCAAAAAGTAGGTCACAATGACCTACTTTTGAGTATCTCAGGTACTTATTGGCCTAGAATCATCAAACATTGTCAGTTGATACATCTTGGGTCCTCGGAAAATGTTGACCAAAAAGTAGGTCATGATGACCTACTTTTGACATTTTATAGCTATATTTAAGTATTTTAGGTACTTTTTGGCTTAGAACTATCAAAACTTTGTCATTTGATGCAACATGGTTTTTTGAAGAATGTCAACCAAAAAGTAGGTCACTGTGACCTAGTTTTGACATTTTATCGCTATATCATAGGTACTCTTTGGCTAAGAATTATCAAACATTGTCAGTTGAGGCATCTTTGGTTTTCAGAGAATGTCGACCAAAAAGTACTTCACAATGACCTACTTTTAATTATCTCAGATACTTATTGGCTTAGAATCGTCAAACATTGTCAGTTGATGCATTTGGGTCCTTGGAAAATGTTGACCAAAAAGTAAGTCACGGTGACCTATTTTTGACATTTTATGGCTTTATGTAAATATCTCTGGTACTAACTGGCTTAGAATCATCAAACTCTGATAGTTGATGCATCTTTGGTCCTCGGGGAATGTCAACCATAAGAGGGTCACAGTGATCTACTTTAATATGTGAGGTACTTATTCAATAGAACCATCAATCTTTGTCAATTAATGCATCTTGAGTCCTCAGAAAGTTTCAAATCAAAAAGTAGGTCACCATGTCCTACTTATGGTATTTTATAGCTATACTGAAATATCATCCTCAGTCCTGACAGGCAAAGAATCATCAAACTTTGTCAGTTCATGCATCTTAGGATACTCGGAGTAAGAGCTAGCTTCAAATAGAAGTGATAGATTATACAATTTATCAGAAGAGCGATTCAAGGCCCTTGGGCCTCTTGTTTACTTGACTGCCGTCACGAGAAAAGGGCCCTTAAGGTCAAATTTTCACAAATTGACTTTTTGGTAAATTTTGATAGCCGGACTCTTTCTGAATGCAAATATACATAAATTTTGAAAATATCTCACTTTTTCAGTATTTTATGAGCATTTTAGTGAAGCGCTCCAAAAAAAAAAAAAAAATTTGGCGTTAATCACTGAAAACGTAATGATGTCGCCTGCGTCTAAATCAATTTTCAAAAAATCTTAAAATTACATGTTATTTAAATAACCTCAATCGTTTTGAGAATTAAAAATTTGAGAAAGTATTTAATTTTTTTCTTCCAAGCGACTAGTATGTAACTATTCTTAAGGGATTTCGTATGTTAATGACTATTTTCATGCTAATTTTAGAGCAGATCTAGTAATTTCGTAAAAGGAGGGGGGTCTAGTCAGAATCTAGGAATGGTTTATAACATAATCAGTAGGAAAACTAGATACGATCTCGTTGCGAGCAACGAGAGGTCTTCCGTCCCATTCAGAAAAAAAAACCTCGTAAAATTAAGCTGAAAAGTGATTCAAAATTTTGGTCACAAGGAGGATTGAACTCGGGTCGCCAACGTGAATGCACTTTTTTTTCTCTTTTATCGCTAACGCGCATACCATTATGCTATAATTTGGAGCACTGCTCTAAATATACTTTTGTATACTTTTGCAACAGTACATTTGTCTAAGAATTATAAAAGGCGGACCACTATTCATAATTTCGCGCTAAACGCCACGAGTAAATGTTCGTGCCTTTTCTTTTGATCTATGAAATAGGTGTGATAGCTTCAATGAAATTAAATAAATAAAACGTTCTTATAGCCTTTATTTTATTTCGACGTTAAGAAAGTATATTTAACACATTGTACACATTACATATCGTATCTAGCCCAGTTACACTAAAGCAGTGAAACGGAAATTAAGTTTCAAGATTGACACTCAATTGCAACGTACTACTACGTGAAAGTCCAGGTAATTTTTCACATTTCATGTATCCTTATGTCAGAATGGTTCAATCAAACGCTCAGCTGCCTCCATAAACCCCTACTCGCGAAATGGCGGAGTAGACAGAGACAGCCGCCATCTTGGGCCCGCTTCAGATTTTCAAATATTAATATCTAGAGTTCAGATTAACCAATACTAAAACAACTTATATAGTAAGCATCAATGGAAAGGTCACTATTAATATTCCAAAAATAAATGAAAAATATTGAAGAACAAAAAAGTTAGAAAATGCACTTTTTTAAATTTGCATCTCCTAATGACAAGAAGTATTGACGACGAACGAAAGGTCACGTCCTGGATAGTGAATATCACGATCTATAATCCCTGAAAGTTTCATGTTGATATCTTCTACCGTTCTTGAGATTAACCGTAGACAAAATGTCATTTTAAATTCAGAAAATGTCCCGTAACTTGGCACCAGAAGAGAATTTTCAAAAAATGTCTCGGAAAAAATAACTTCAGATAACAACACATAATTTCTGTAAATTTCATGAAAATCCACCCAGTAGTCTTCAAGAAATCGCGTGCACAAAATTTAGTGTACGGAAAAATAATAATAATAATAATAATAATAAGAAACAATAGAATCACTATAAGGTCTTCCGTGAAGACGGAAGACCTTAATAATATTTGTTTTAAGTCATACAAATTATTCATTTTATATAAAATAATCTAATTCAATTTATAAAATATATAAAGCACTTAATATAACACTTAAAGATTAAAAGAAATATATATAGAGAGAGAGAATCCCATGCAGAAGGACACCGCGCGCAAAATGGGGCACCCCTCGCAAAAAGCACATCGATCCCGATATTAAAAAAATCTTATGAGACAACATTCGCTCACCAACACACATAGGTAACTTTATTCCCTATAACTCTTACGATAAAAAAAACACCATGCATTTTCTGTATCACCGGAAAATTCAATTGAGAAATAGATTCAGATATGCCAAGATATATAAAACTTGCTTTTAAAAATGTTTATTCCTTTTATATTTTCATTCCTAATTTTTCTCTCTGTGATAACTCTTTGAAAGTTAGCGGAGTTAATTTCTTGATAATTCTATCGGAACGTAAATTAGGCAGGTCAGTAGGCCAGGAGCTAAGGAGGCCTAATATGCATGCAAATCTCGTGCGCATCTGTCTCTGAGTCTGACGCTAAGGAGACCAAACATGCATGAAAATCTCGTGCGGCTGCCGTTGTGTTTGACGTCAGTGGGCGAGGAATCCTCGTGTAATTCAAATTTATGTCTACACGTTTAAAGTCTAAATCTAAATTTTATTTCACAATGAAATGGAAATATAAGGAATCACTGTCTAGTTAGTATAGTATGCCAGGG